CTCATGCTCACAGTACTTGCTTCAAATGCAAGTTCAAGCACAACCAAAGTGTTCAAATGCCCTCACACAAGGAATGATTCCATATTCACACACAAAGGTTTAATCATTTAAAGTTCTGGAATCAAATGAAATGCTCACTCTCACAATGAAGAACACAATGCATGCTTTCACCAATAGGTTTGCCCGTATTTTCCAATCAACATTTGTTGCGGCTTACTCAAGATCAAAAGTCTTTTCAAGGCTTGTAATGGGCTGAGTGCAAAGGTATGGTCATCTAGGCTCAGTGACTTTTATCCTCATGAAACGTGGTGCTCACAACACTTCCTTTCCTATTCATTCATCACTCTATGCTCATAAGTCATCCTATTATTCACTTTCCATGAATTGTTTGGAAATCCCATTTCTTTTGTACTTTATTCCACAACTTTCTTTATCTTTCTTTTTCTTTTTCTTTCTCGTTTCTCTTTTTTTTATATGGAGGGGTTCCATTTTTCTCAAAACCATGGGTAAGAGGGACTTTCTTGCACTTCTTGATTTGCCTTCTCTTTTCACCACACCCCCAACTTACGTTTTTGGCCTAAGTTAGATATTCAACTAACCACAACTTCATAAGGATTATGGGTAATGGATAAAGAAAGGACTAGTATTCATCAAGTTTCTTCCAAAGGAAGGTAAGGCTCAAGGGGTGTTCAAAAGAGGTTCACACATGCTCACAAGATAGGCCACAAAGAGGTATCTGTCAAACTGGCTCACACTTTTTGAAGTTGTCTAATATCATATCAAGAGATAGTCTTACTTAGTTGATCGGACCAACGGGGTAAATTCTAGGTGTATTCATGCATGGTTCACAGTAAGCTCATCACACAAGACATCGACACTAAAGTCAAACAAGACTTCACACTTTCGCTAGTGTGCAATGATCATCACAAGAGACTCAATTCGATACTAGGCTAGTCATAACGAGATGCAAAGAGTTCACATATTTTCTATGCAACTTTATATGGCCTCATTGTAGCCGCACATTCATGTTTGTTTGATTAAGAGAAATATTTAAGTCCTCGGTATTGATCGGAACCCAGACTCAAATTTTGCAAAAGAACAGCCACATTCAATCACACAAGGGGTGGCAAAAAAAATTGGAAGGGTCTAAATCATTTGCAATTTAAAATGAGGAGCCACAAGCTCAATCATCCACAAAAAAAGTAGTGTAATAACACAATAATAGCTCACAACCCAAAATATATAATCAAAATGAATATGCACAAAGTTGGGCCTCACCCCACCACAAACAAAAATCATTTGTCCTCAAATGCGAATGAAAGTATCCAAAAGTAAAAGTAAGTAAGACAGAGAGGGAGGTAAAGAAAGGTCTTGTCTACACAATCGCTCCATCTGTCGGGGCCTTAGTACTGAATATGGGCATCAGTGCCCCGGAGTAACCTCAGAAGGAATATCAGTGCAGATCCACTAGGAGTTGTTGTTGACGTCTCAGTCGGTGATGTCTGGGTCACCAGCGGCACAATCGTCTCTACAAGATCTGACAACTCTCTGAATATACTCTTATCTCGGTTATCTCTCATCTCCTCATCGTGTGCTGCTATCAGCTCCTCGTCGGTCTCTATATCTGACTCCTCATATATTGTGCCATCCCTCTACACTTCTCCGGTGGTAGCCGGAAGAATCCCCAAGGTTTCAGGAGCATCCTTGTCATCTGGACCCTGAATCAATGAACTGAAGTCGGTAGACTTCAAATGGTCTATGTCCTTCCTCAAATCTGCTACTCTGGCTTTCAAAGCTGAAACCTCGGATGTCTCCCCCTGTCTGCTCTCACAAGCAGTGACTCTAGTAGCCAGATCATCAATAGAGGCCCTAAGGGGGGTCAGTGCAGCCAAGATAGCACTGTCAATCATCCTTGGGAAGGATCTCTCCAATCGATTAGCCCTCACATCAGCTGAATAGGCCAGATTCCCCATTTTCAGGATCATCACTTAAGTAATATTGGCGGACTGGGAGGATGATGAAACACCTGGGACCTGTGAATAAGAGAAAGGGGCAGGTGTACTTAAAGGCTTAGAGGCCAGAGTCGGCGAAGATGCCTCTATTTTTAACGTGTCAATATTGACCTCTAGGGAAATATCTACCAGAGCTGATCTCCTCCTGTCAACCTACTATCATGTGTACTCGATCTCAATATGCCGGATGTCAGTGGAGGAAGACGGGGTGATCTCAATATCCCTCGTAGTGTCCTGAGGTACTCCAGCACGCTGGCATAGCTCGGTGATCAAGACTGGAAATAGCAGAGAAGTCAGGTCCTGTTTGTCTCTCATGGCCATATCTTGTGAAATCAGCAGTCCCAGGTCAATGCATCTCCTAGACATGATAAAACCAAGGCAAGCTGCCTTAGGATGGTGCAAAATGGACTCGTTCCGGGATAGAATTATGGTGCTGCTGATGAAACCAAACCAGAACCTGGCAGCAATGTTCAAGTCCCTTTTCTCAATAGGGGCTCCTACCCCGATCCATCTCAGGGTGGTGTCAAAAATCAAAGGAGCCAACCAACCCTTCAAATCATCTAGGGACTGAACAAAAGGAAACCCCTCGTAAGGAAGTACAGAGTGCAACGGTTTACCCAATATAGTGTTAATATACTCGTTGTGGCACTCAACTTCCTTGCCTCTTACCATGACCGACTTTATCGGTCAAAACTCGTTTGCCTTCTTCTTGTTCTTGGGCACCAACTCCCCATAAGCTGTGTAAAATTCCCTATCCCAAGAAGGAATGTTAGGGCCTCAGGGACTTGTGAACTGCTCAAACTCATGGTATCGGAAGGTGTCAATCACATCGGGATACTTGCCTTCCAGGCCCTCCGTAGATAATAGTTTATCCTCTAGGATGGTCCGTACCCCATCACATTTCAATCTGTTTAGCAGTCTAGGTGGAGGAATGATAGGGGTAAGGGGCCATTGGAGGTGCCTGAGCTGGCACTGAATCTGTTTCAGGAAAGTGGCAACTGCGGGAACTTTGGTGGGCGAGGATTGAGATATAGCTTGGCGTCTACTCCTTCGATGAGTCAAAAGGTCTTCGTCTTCTGGTTCAAAAAATTCCACATGGGTTTCAATAGCTACTCCTTTCCTAGCTATGTGCTTCTTTCATTTTCATTTATCTCCCGATGGAGTTCTTCTCCTTTCCTCTTTGGAGGATTTGACCCCCCCCCCACGGTTTATGGTTATGCCTTATGCTTTCATCTGAGGTTGCGTGGTTATATTTGTAAGTACCATATCTGCAAAATATCGGAACAAATTAGGAGAAAATCAAACATAAGCACAAAAAATCTATTGCAGACATACTAGCTGATCCATTCGGCGAGTCGTCGAACATCTTTGGCGAGCTAAGTGATGAGTCCACAAATTGGACTCATTTAGGGATATGTTTTGATAGAATTAGTGTCCTCAAATGCATGTTTTGTCTCAAAACTGATAAAATACCTTAGGTTTCAGGTATTTAGACTTGGATACAAAGGCATGGACACAATTAAGCAAAAAGGAACAACGGAAGATGAAAAAATGGAGAAATGAAGATCTGCGGATCGCCGAAGCTATTCGGCGTGTCGCCAAATGATTTCACCTCGCCTTTTGTTCTAGTGTGCTAAGCCCTAAAAGAAAGGATCAAATCGGCAGTGAAAAGGAGCAGTCAGCGTGTCGTCGAGCAGTTTCATGAAGTAGTACTATGTCGCCCAATGATCCAAACACTACGATGTTAAAGGATAGAGCAAAATGGCGATGAAACTTACCAAAGGGGGGATCGCCGAGTTGATCGGCAATCTCGACTAATGACGCCGAATGATCCGCTACAACACAGTATTTTGAAAACTATAAATTCTCGTTGAGATTTGTAGCTTAATATCAGATTTTTAATATAAAATTTTTAACATAGAATTTTGAGTTCTAAGTTTGGAGAGGGTTTTGAAGAACTTGAAGATTCAAAGGGTTTTAAATCCAAAAATTTGGACTTGGGTCTTGTGGATTCTTTACTCTTTACTTGTTTTGAGACCTAAATCTTCATACCCATTTGAATGCAAACTCATATTGGTATAAATTTCTATCTCTTTTACATGTGTGATTTTGTGAATATGGGTTAGATTAATTGTTGGGTCTTGCTTGCTGATGGTTTATTTGTTGTTTAGATGTGATTTCGTTTAATAGTTTTGGTGGAACTTAATGAAATTGTAGTTGCAAATATGACTTCACCTTTGTATTTTTGGCTTGCTAGAGAGAGAGAGGTCGTAAAACTAAGACTACTAAATTGATGGCTGGTGGGAGTGGGTCGACATAAGGTTCAGCTTGAGAGAGTGAACCATAGTCCTTCTCCCACACACTCAGCTCGAGAGAGTGAGTGGGCTAAGGGTGAGGTTGTTCTTCATGCGACAAGTGGGTGTCCGAGAGGAACCCATTTGATTCGGGGTAAGTTGCTCGAGAGAGAATTTACCCCACTATAGTCTAGCCTAGTCACAAATACTCAACGGATTCACTATCAAAAGCATGTACCCAATAGTCTAGTCTAGCCCGTATTCTTATCACATCCCAAGAATCTCGTCTCCCTATTCGTATCTCTACGTATTTTTGCTATTTTTGTGTACTTGTCACAAACCCCCATTGATAATTGACGTTTGCGTCACCCCTTAGATTTAACATGTTTATTTCGAAAATGTTTTTAGCTATGACTAATTAGAACTAAATTTTATTCTTCTATTAATTCTCAAGCCCACTCCCTTGGGACTCGACCCCAACCCTTGGTTGGGTTACTTTACTATTGTACGAACGTAGACACTTGCGTTGGAAGTTGTGTTTTGATTACGCAACCATCAAAATGGCGCCACTGCCGGGGAGTGGTGTTATTTGAGAATTCTTAGTTTAGTAAATTTTTTGTTCTTCTTAATTGTAGTTTACTCACTTAATCTTTAATTTTGTTTTGTTTGCTTGTGTGTGAATATTTCAGAAAGCATGAGTGTTAACGGTAGCAACAGTAGCCAGGTGGGCCACCAAGATGATATCAGAAATATCAACGATGTCCAAGATCCCAAGATCAAAGGTCCTCATCTCATGGGAGGTATTGGAGCTATCCGGTTACCTCCAACCGAGGGAAATGCAGTGTTCCACATAACGAGCACTATGTTGCAACTCTTGCAATTAAAGGGACTTTTCAGCGGGTTGGCTTGCGAAGATCCTCACGAGCATCTTTGTAACTTCGTGGATATGTGCGGACCATTCTCATTCAAAAATATCTCTCAGGAGTCAGTCTGGTTAAGATTATTCCCTTTCTCGTTGATGGGAGAGGCGTGCAAATGGTTGGCCGAGTTGCCGCGTGAATCCATCACTTCCTGGGAGGAATTGGTAACCACATTTTAGGTGCAATTTTTCACTCCCTCGAAGATGATGACCCTTCAAGATAGCATTCAAAGCTTCAAGCGTCTGGAAGGAGAGCCTCTGCATGAGACTTGGTTACGGTTCAAAAAGTTGGTACTTCAATGCCCAACCCATGGTTTACCCAATAATGTGCTGCTGCAGTACTTTTATTGAAGTTTGGACTCAGTAAACAAAGGAGTCGCTGACCAACTTTCACCTGGAGGCTTAATGCAGTAGCCATATGCAGTAGTAGCCCAACTTTTAGATAGCATGACAACTATCAACAGAGTGTGGTACACTCGCGAGGACCAAGTCTCTCCTCTCATCTTCAAGCTATCTAAGCAGCTGATTGAAAAAGATCATGAGAGAGACCAAAACATGGCCAAGATCATGACATATCTTGACATTCTATCTAAAAATGTCATGGGGGCTGGTGCCCGTGGTGTCAATGCCGTGGGGGTCGGGTGTGCGAATTCTGAGGAGATGAAGTTTGAAGCTTTGTATAACGAGGAGGTAAACTTTCTAGCCAGCCAAGGCGGTGGCTATCGTTCAAACTACCCAAGGCAGGGTGGTAACCAAGGTTGGGCTAGAGATGAAGGCTGGAAGGATTGATATCGTGAATGGAGGGACCGTAATCCGAATTGGAAGGATGGGAAGAAGGATAGATATGTGCCTCCCCATGAGCGCCAAAATCCCAAGGACTCGGAAGGTGGTAGGTCTGAGGATATGCTCTCACCTATCCTCAACAAAGTAGAAGGGTCAGTCAAAATGTTAAAGGCATGAAAGAAGATTTGTCCACTCTTAGTCAGACCGTCACCTCTCATTAAGTTTCGATCAAACAGTTAGAGACCCAAATGGGTCATATCTTGTCTCATCTCAATCCAAGACAACAAGAGGGTTTGCCTAGTGACACTATGGTCAACCCCAAGAATGAGGTTTAAAGGTGGACTTGTGTCGTGCCACGACGTTAACTAAGGCGTTGTTTGGGAGGAAACCCAAAACCCTTTTTTACTTTATTTATGTTCTGGTAAAATAATGGTGTGTTGTTTGTACAAGTTGAAGTGTGGAAGGTGTTCAAAAAGTGCAGGGTGGCGAGCAACAAGTCTAGTCGGCGAATCACTGAGGAGGTCAGTGATTTCATTTAGTAGTTGTGTTGTAACTTAATGAAATTGTAGTTGCAAATACGATTTCACCTTTGCATTTTTGGCTTGCTCGAGAGAGAGAGGTCGTAAAACTAAGACTACTGAATTGATGGCCGGTGGGAGTGGGTCGACATGAGGTTCAGCTCGAGAGAGTGAACCCTAGTCCTTCTACCACACACTCAGCTCGAGAGAGTGAGTGGGCAAAGGCGGAGGTTGCTCTTCATGCTGCTAGTGGGTGTCTGAGAGGAACCCATTTGATTCGGGGTAAGTTGCTCGAGAGAGAATTTATCCCAACTATAGTCTAGCCTAGTCACAAATACTCAACGGATTTACTATCAAAAGCATGTACCTAATAGTCTAGTCTAGCCCGTATTCCTATCACATCTCAAGAATCACGTCTCCATAATCGTATATCTTCTTATTTTTGTTGTTTTTCCTTACTTGTCACAAACCCCCATTGATAATTGACGCTTGTGTCACCGCTTAGATTTAACATGTTTATATTTGAAAATGTTTTTAGCTATGACTAATTAGAGCTTAATTTTATTCTTCTATTAATTCTCAAGCCCACTCCCTTGGGACTCGACTCCAACCCTTGGTTGGGTTCTTTACGATCGTAGTCATTTGCATTGGAAGTTGTGTCTTAATTACGCAAACATCACTAAGTCGGGCTCACCAAAGGGATTGGCTTAAAAATTATGGTAAGTTAGTGATAGGAAGGCCTTCGGCGAATCGCCGACTACTTTCAGTGAGCAGTTTGTCCGCCGAAAGTTACAGTGCAACAAGGGTTTCAGGGGTGCAAATAAAGAGCGATCAAGAGTACTTTTGGTGAGTCACCGAGAGCTTTCGGGGACCTCAGGCTTCTCGCCAAAAGTTACTGAGTCAAACCACAAATTTAACATGAAATTAAAAGCGAGATGAAGACATTAGGCGGAACGCCGGGTAATTCAGTGAGCTCTACCCAGCTCGCCGAACGGCCCAACATGCCCATTTTCAATCCACCTTCTCGAATTCAATCCCGCAACCCCCGAAAACAAAATCAAAGCATGCACTAATGGAATTTAAAAAAGACTCGTACTACCCATTACCCCGAGATACTCAGATTTTTCTCGGTTCTGCAAAATTTGGCTATTTGACGATATTTGCTTTTAAGAGTGTTGTTACCGGCTCTATCATTGAGTAGTTTTCATCATTTAGCACAAACATGGGCTACTCAAACTTCACCCAATCAATCTAAACAACACGCAACCACAACCCAATACAATTTCATTTATTTAAAAGAACAAAAATTACGGGCATTTGACGATCAAAACAATACGGGCAAGATTTTCAAATTAAAATTGGCATTTAAGCATTCTAACTCTATCAGAGAGGCCCAACACACAACAACACGGTACGATCATTGCAAGTGAGTACAAAATTTTTGAATGTAAACTTGGGATTCAGAAACAAACCTTATATGCCGATTAAAACGCGATTGAAAAGCTAGGCGGCAAAGAAATCCTAGTTTCGAGCACCAATCAACAACTAAAATACTAATGGAATATAAAAATATTGAAAATACTACCTTGGTGTGAGTTTGTGAAGATTAAAAGCGAGGGAAAGTGAAGGATTTCAAATTCTAAGACTCTTTGGCCATTATAAATCGTCTAGTTCGCGCCCATTCGACGACATTAGTGGCACTCGCCGAACTACTCGGCGCCACGCCGAGTAGTCACCATCCTCGCCGAGTTTTACAGACTCATATGTAAATTGGTCTTGAGTCTAACGACGGTCTAGTTCGGGGTAGCCAAACCCTTCGACAATTCGCGGAATGGACCTATAGATTGCCAATCTACACTTGTCGATCACTCTCCACATTTCAACCTGCAAAATCAATACACCATTATTTCTATAATAAAACAAATCATTTAAGACCTTGGGTTGCCTCCGAAGAAGCGCCTTAGTTAATGTCGTGGCACAACGTGAATCAACCCTTAAATTTCAATATTGGGGGTTACCTCATTTTCATAAGGTCACCCTTCTGTTGGATCCGAGTTCGGCGAGGGCATCAATTGGTCCATTTGGGACCCCAGCAACTGAATGAGCAAAGAATGAGAGGTAGTCATCTGATTTAGCATCATAACATTCTCTCTAATCTCTTCCAACACTCTGTCGTGCTTATTGACTTTTTGTAGGATGAGCAAGAGGACCTCTTCAATTTTCTCGCCCTCTTTCTTCTTCGTCTTTTGACGGTTGTGAGGAGGAATGTACTTATCATTTCCTTTGGATAGTACCTCTAAGTCATTGACCTTTTGGTCCAAGTCATCGAGCTACTCCAACAAAGTGGCCATTCCTTGGTCTTTCTCTTTCTTCTTGATGGTCTTGGCCATGTGATCAAGGAGGTGGGCTGCTTTTGCGTAGGGAAACTGGATGAATCCGCCTGGAGAAATTCAATCAGTCACCATTTGAATCTCATGGCCAATACCCCTATACAAGCATTCCAGTAGCATACGTTCTGGAATGTCATGATCTGGGCACTGATGCACGAGAGCTTTGAATCGTCGCCGCAACTCGTGAACTGACTCCTCTTCCTCTCTATTGAAACTTAAGATGCCATCCCTGAGCATCAAATTTTCTTTAGACGGAGGTAATCCATTTGATCACCAGCTTCACTATTTACACTCATTTTCATGTTTCCGTCATAAAACAAACAAACAAAAACAAAACTAAAAATAAAGTTAGTAACATACGACTATCAGAAGCAAAGTTCAACTTAATCAAAAAAATTCACGTAACACCACTCCCCTACAGCAGCGCCATTTTGATGTTTGCATAATTAAGACACAACTTCCAATGCAAGTGTCTACGATCGTATAATAGTAAAGTAACCCAACCAAGGGTTAGGGTCGAGTCCCAAGGGAATGGTTCCTAAAAATTAGTGGTTAAGCACGAACGTGCTAAAGCTAACCGTAGCTAAAGACTTTTCGAATGAAGACATGACAAATTAAAGGGTTTGACACGAGTGTCAATTATAAGGAAAGGTTCAAAATAGTCCCTCATCTTTGGGTTAAGGCTCAAAGTCATCCTTGAGTTTTCACATGGAGCACTAATAGTTCCTCATATTTGCAATATTGGTGCAGTTTTGGTCCTCCTCAAAAATTTTGCCTATTTTTTAACATTAATTTTATCCACAATTTTATGTAAGGAATGTCCAATCGTCTTTCTATATATTTAGTAGAAATAATAACTCTATGTGAGAAGGTGATAAGAAGAACACATTGTTCTCTTCAGTAGAAATATTACTGAAGCTAAACTAAGAACATCTTAACATATGACGTTCGAAGAAAAGAAAAAAAATTGTACTATTGCACGTGAAATTATCGTGATGAACCTCTCGACTTTACCTGCAATACAATTTCTACTTAACAAAAAAAGATGTTTTTCTTCTCACATTCTCTCATATGGAGTTATTATTTTTACTAAATATATAAAATGACGATTGAACATATCACACATAAATTATGGATAAAATCAATGTTAAAAAATAGGCAAAATTTTGGAGGAGGACCAAAAGTGCACCAATATTGCAAACATGAGGGACTATTACTGCTCCATGTGAAAACTCAAGGATGACTTTGAGCCTTAACCCAAATATGAGGGACTATTTTGAGCCTTTCCTCGTCAATTATCAATAGGGGGTTTGTAAAAAAGTAAATATCAAAATCAACAAAAATAAAGAGAGATACGAATATGGAGCCGGGATTCTTGGGATGTGATAGGAATACGGGCTAAACTAGATCATTGGGTACATGCTTTTGATAGTAAATTTGTTGAATATTTGCGACTAGGCTAGACTATAGTGGAGGTAAATTCTCTCTCGAGCAACTTACCCCGAATCAACTCGGTTTCTCTCGAACACCGAGTTGCCGCTTTAAGCATAGCCTCCACCTTAGCCCACTCACTCTCTCGAGCTGAGTGTGTGGGAGAAGGACTAGGGTTCACTCTCTCGAGTTGAACCTCATGTCGCCCAATCCCACAGGCCATCAATTTAGTAGTCTTAGTTTTACGACCTCTCTCTCAAGCAAGTCGAAAACACAAAGGTGAAATCGTATTTGAAACTACAATTTCATTAAGTTACACCATAACTACTAAACGAAATCACATTTACACAATAAATAAACCATCAACAAGCAAGACCCAACAAATAATCTAACCCATATTCACAAAATCGCACCCCAAGAATTGGGGTTTTAGCTAGACATGTAAAAGAGATATAAAGTTATACCAATCTCAGTTTCCATCAATGGGCATGCAAGATTAAGTCTTAAAACAAGTCAAGAGTGAAGAATCCACAAGACCCAAGTCCAAACTCTTGGAGTTGAAACCCTTTGACTCTTCAAGTTCTTCAAAAACCCTCTCCAAACTTAGAGAGAATATTGTCTCTCAAAATTGTATTCTAAACTTAATACAACTAAAACTGACTACTAA